AGCCTTAGAGACCTTGATGGATGCATATAACACAGCGGCCTCCCAAACTACCTGCTGCGCCCCAGGGAAGAGGGTAGAACCCAACTTATAAGGGAGCGCAAGTAGTTCTTGGCGTGTGGACGCTGATTACTTTGACACTGAGTACTTGGACACGGACATCCACAGCCAGCCCATGCCCATGACTGCGCTCACCATCTGGGAGGCGCAGCTATGGATAGCATCCCTCGCCAGATGACTGTGAACCTCGGTGAGTTGGCCAGCCAACTCTGAAGAGTCAGACTGCCCCTCCCCCACCAGCTCCAGCTGCACCGCAGACAGGTAAGCCGAGTGGACGGCGATACAGAGCTGTTGGCAAGCATTACAGTATTGCTCCTCAAAGCAAACGTAAGCCGCCTTCAGCTCCGCCCCGCACATAGGGAAGGGTGGCAACCACCGGCCCTGCTTAGCTAGCCTTGGCTAAGTTGGAGGTCCACGACCTGCACCTCGAAGTCACGGTCCTCTGCCAACGGGTACCGCCTAGTAAGGGGAGATCAAAAGCTTTTATGGGCACCCGACAGCAGAGGATCGATGATCTCGTGTACCAGCGAGGTCAAAATGCGGAGCCGCACCTGGGGCGCTTTGCACGGAGCAAAAGCGTCCCCTGGAAGGCAGAACTCAGACGGATCCGAGACGGGCATAGGGGCAGCCACCTGAGGCAGTACTTGGACAATCTTATCCCTGACATGCCTCAGCGAGGATGCGAAGGAAAAGCTCCCCGCAGCCTCCGAGTCATCCCCTCCCTCCTCCATCCACTCCTCATCCCTCCTCTGACTCCTCGGCAAGAGAGGAAGTAGACGGAACAGGAAGGGGGCGACTGAAGGCCTGGGCCCTCGCATCCCCTGACTGTCCCCGGTCCGACACCGGGTCCCGGTCCCGAGGTGCTGGGGGTTCAAGTGAACCCACCTTGCTCACGGGCATTCCACAAGCCCCCGCGGCCGCATCCGACGCCCAGGCCCGGGGAAGCCCCGCCCGCAGCTCCTCTCAGAGCTGGGACTTGACATCCTCGAACATCAACGCCATCTGCGACTGGAGAAGCGACGAAATATCAGCAAGCTTAATAGGTGCAGGTGAGGGGGGAACCTCGGGGACCCGAGAGCCCTCACCCCCGGACAGCTCCGTCGCTTTCTGGCTTTGGGGGTGAAGTCTCCACATATGGCACACGACTGATCATCATGGCCATCCTCCGCCAAGCAGCGAATGCATTTAGGGTGCGGATCTTGCGGTGGTATTGCCGCGTCACATCCCATACAAACTTTGAAAGTCTGCAACAGACCGTTTAAACTAAACGGATGGTGAACGGGGAGGAATATGTATCAGTGCGAATTGTGAAAATTGCAGAAAGATACATGCATAATTACAACACAACATATGCATACGCGATATCGATAGCCAAGGCCGTGTATACATTTATAACATATAAAGGGAGCGTAGTAAGCCTCTCCCCCCCCCCCCCCCCCCCCCGAGCGGAAAAAAATACACAGTAACTTGCGCCCGTACAGCCGGGTTGAAAAGCAAAAAATGTAGTGAAATAATGTTAAGATAAAAAAGCCATGTCGGTTGTACACGAACATGGAATTTACCAGAACCGAATAAGCCACACAGCGGCCGCCATTACGTGAAACAAACGGGTTTTTTTGTGTGGTAACATTTTGTCACTATGTCATGTAGATTTTCTTTAGCAAGGAAAATGCAATAAGTGCCCCAAGGAGGATTTAATCTGAAAGACAATGTTAAATACTTTCTAACAAAACTTTGGTGTCTTTTGCTATTTAGGAATTTATTTATTTTTTTATTTTACGTTTCCATGGCAACCAGTTGGACTTAGGTTCTATAAGGGTGGTGTTCGTTTCCGGAGCATAACTCAAAACCCATTCAAAACTTTCTAACAAAACTTTGCATGTCCATGCTGAACTGGTGCCTTTTGCTATTTAGGAATTTTAGAAATTTTTATTTTTTTACGTTTCCATGGCAACAAGTTGGGTTTAAGTTTAGGTGGGGGGATATAGATGACTTTGTTGACTATACGCTTGTTTAGTTATTGTTTCATGTTATTTGTCATTTGTTTGCATTAAAAAAACACAGAAACACACATGCTTTACTTTCCATTTCATATGGATGCAACCATGGTGGATCTTTTGTTGGTAAACAATGAATGCTTCTTAAAGAACATTCAACTCTTGACTCATTACATACAGAATTGCACATTTACTTGTGGTTACAATAAATTACTCAATCCAGTACCAGTACTGTAATAAAGTTTAGATAAGCAACATGCTTGGTAATCGTGCGATTTTCATTAACACTATTTTGACTTTCAACACAAAGTAAATATTTCACCTCAGGATTGCTTATTTTATTATCCCCCGCCCAACGAAGTTGGAGGGGGGATATAGAAACGGGCTCCGTCCGTCTGTCACGTTTCGTTTCCGGAGCATAACTAAGAAACCGTTCAATATTTTTTCATGAAACTTTGCAGGTCTGTCAGGTACATGCTGAACTGGTGCCTTTTGCTATTTAGAAATTTTAGAAATTTTTACTTTTTTACGTTTCCATGGCAACAAGATGGACTTAGGTTCTAAACTCTTCTTTTTTTTACAATTTCCATGACAAGTTCCACCTCGGTTAAAAAAGGTTAGGGTTTGTTTAGATTTAATTATAAATGGACAGATTTGTCTATCAGTTTGTACAATGACTGAAATTTTTAGACATTTTATAAATTGCCTGTGTGAATCACATTTTACACCTTGAATGTAATGTATACACGCTTACAAAGGAAAAGTCTTGTGAAAACAAAGTCGATCATGCATCGAAGAACTTCCCAACTAAGACGTAGAGGAACAAGAATGAATCTGTTCAATGCTTCAGCAAATGAATGAAAACAAAATGCAACTATCGTAATTACAACCTACCAAAGTTTTATGTATAATTTTAAGCAGCTTCCTTGGTCGAAGAATGTATTCGTGAATATCCACATAAAGGAACAATATCCCGCACGTCTGTAGATGTATAGAGAAACTTATTCGATGTCACATGTCTCTGTAACAATCAAATATTTGAAAATATTGTTTTGGGATATTATAACCTGTGTTCATTTCTCAACTGATCACTTAGTTTGTTTCAGTTGTTTCACATATGTGTCAAGTCTCAAAGGTCAGCTGAGAAAGCCCACGTAACAACTATTTTCATTATGTCCACGGTTCTTAAAAAATCCATTGAGTAAGATAACAATGAGCAATCAATCAAGGTATTATCGGTTAACCCTTTGAACAAAGTATGTGTTTTTTACATCGGCACTTCACGCCATGATATTAGTGTCATTCCCTTTGCTTTTGTAAACCTACACATGTAAACACTTACTTTTGACATATCCACCGTGCAAGGTAACAGTGATTAATCAATCAGCATATTTTCTGTTGATCCTTTGATGGCGAGGATTGATACGTTAATTGATTTACCAAAAAGTAAATCAACTGATCTCTCTCATCCCTTGCTGGGCTGCCAGGTGCATATTACATAACACACATTTCACCTCACTTCAAACTTGGATTTAAATTGAATAATGACCCCAGACATGAGAAATGCCGAATTGGAACCTAGATCAGGTGATCTGAGTGGTGCTACCACTAATTATACCCCCGACAAAATGTCGGGGGTATATAGTTATGCCAAGGTTCTGTCCGTCCGTCCGAATACTTTGTCCGCATGATTTCTCTTAAACTATTCAGGGGATTCATCTCAAACTTAGTACATATAATCTGTGTCATATGAAGGGGTGCAGTCAAAAGAAAAAAATTGTTTTTATTAATTTTCCATTTTTTAATGAATTTGTCAAACCCTAAGGTCCGTCCGAAAACTTTGTCCGCTGGATTTCTCTTAAACTATTCAGTGGATTCATGTAAAAACTTAGTACATATAATCTGTGTCATATGGAGGGGTGCAGGCAAAAGAAAAAAAATATTTTTATTAATTTTCCATTTTTTTATGTATTTTTCAAACCCTAATGTCCGTCCGAAAACTTTGTCCGCGCGATTTCTCTTAAACCATTCAGTGGATTCATCTCAAACTTAGTACATATAATCTGTGTCATATGGAGGGGTGCAGTCAAAAGAAAAAAAATGTTTTTATCAATTTTCCATTTTTTATGAATTATTCAAACCCTAACCCTATCCTAGCTATTTAATTTATAACTACTGACACACTAGGCGGGTCGGGGGTATTAGTGAGTCAGGCTCACTTTTGCACTTGTTATACCTGTAATAAATTCATTAACTGAGCATCAAGTGAATGACTATAAATACACAAGTGTAGGGTTATACAAGAAAACATGGATGACAACAAGGGAGTAGTAATCATATTATCCAACGCTATTTAGGTTTCTTCTTTAGCATTTTTGATAATTTACTTTTTAATATTTTTTAATCTATTTTTCAGCTTGCCACTGCAATTTATCAATTTTTTTCGAACAATTTCCTTGCAGCAGTTGAAGGTAAGGTGAGGTGGAATGATCAGCTGTTGAAGGCTTACTGTCTCTTTTGTCACGTGAGGTGAAATGATCTTTAGCCCCATATCATGTTCCAGTTTATTGCCCTTTTCAGCAACGCGCAGGTACGTGTGTAGCTGCTCATACCAGCCCAAACTTATGCCAGTTTAGTGTTAGGCCAGTGAGATACCATGCCACAGTTTAACATGGAAACTCCACTGAGACACAGTATACTGACTCCATGCCCACCGGTCCTTGTTTTACCCCCTTACTGCCAGATACCAGTCAGGTTAACAACAAGTACCATCTTTTAATGTCCAGGGGATTGAACCGCCAACCTACCGCTATCCGGGCAGACACTCTATTAACAAGACCAAAGAGGCAGTAAAGCTGTTAGAATTGTGTAATATTATATGCTAAAGAGAAGTAAAGAGCTGAAGTGTTGTTATGGTGGCAATGTTTTGAATATTTATCATTGCAGTTTGCGCAGGGTTAAGATGGACCAGAGAAAGCTGATGGAAAATGCAAGCACATTAGTTGATATGGCAAAGGTAGGTATTTGTTGTGTGTTATCCATTACCCTTTCCTTTGCACTGATAAGTTAACTTGGACTAATGCACCCAGTACCATTGATTTCATGAGTTGCTTTATAATGTCATGTACCGACAACCTATTTCAATTTAGTTTTTAACACAGGGAGTGGACCGAAGGCTGGACTACTGATATTTAATATACAGATCTTTCTGTAACTCAATTGTATCAGTACTATTTCAAAATGATTTCATGAACACTTCATAAAATATTAGATGTTAGATGATTCCTGGTGTATTCCTACCTTCAAATATTATTGATACATAGACATGCACCATTGACTATATAACTAATTTCCTTTGTATTTTTCATCATTCTTATGAGTACAACACCTCTATTACATCAGTGCAAATTTCAGGTTTCGTAGGTTACAAGAAGACAAAATCATGCTTCTTACCTGCGTTGAAGCTGAAGAGGATTAGTTTACCTTAGAATTTTTAGTTTCTAGGAAGTGAACATGTTGTGGAATGAGATGGCCTCTCCCCCACCAACATGTATGGTGTGTGGGCATTTCAAGGCCTTGGGTGACCCACACTTCATCTGCTTGAAGTGCAGATCTGTTTAATGTTCAGATCAGTCCAGATGCATCCAGTGTGCTTCCATCCCTTGGGATGATTTTCTCTTGGTCGCATAAACCAGGATAGTGTTGAAAAGGAGGGAAGGGGCCAAGAAAAAGATGTGTATTATGACTCCAGTCAAGTTCCGTCAATCTGACATGGCTGGTTGTGTATGATTATGTCGGATTAACAAGAATGTCGGATAAACAAAATTCAGTAGTACTAACGTTCATGATCGAAAATTTGACAACTACATGACAGAAAATGGTACAAACATGTAACAAAAATATGAAAAGTGAAATATTGATATTGTTATTTTACATAGTTAGCAGAATATGTTTTCTAGTCATGCAACCTCTAAAGCTTAACACAAAACTACTACTTGACTGATTTAAAATACTTTTGAAAGTGTAGTCTGAAATGGAAGTCCTGTTGGTCATTTCATTGGTCGGTCAAAGTTCGTTCTGATGTAACCTTTGATGGGATGTACTCAGCAGTAGCGAAAACTGATTTTAATGAGATTGAGAAAATTAAACACTTGATTAATCCTGTTTTGTGTATTTATTGTTAAGCAAGTTTATCTCTGCATGTGTTGTAATGGGCAGCTACTAGCCAACTCGTCTCGCAAATGGCCACGGGCTGTATACTTGCGGGCAGATGACCACAGAGTACACAGATGACTGTGTCATATTAACGAGACTGATTAATGAGTGATTTGGGAAATTCATTGCAAATTGGGTGTGTCGCAGAGTGAGTGCGAGACTGTCGGATTAACAGGTGTCAGATTAACAAGACTTGACTTTACATACAGTCAAGCCAGTTGGAACCTTCCTATGATGCAGAAGGACAACCCTTGACCATCTGGATCCCAGCAGACTGAGAAAGCCTCTGGCCAGATGGCCAAGAACAAGTATCAAGGCTGGGTGATTCGGTTCTGATGCAGGATCTCAGTCTGACCACTGGAGGTTACTTCTTAACTTGGTTGAGACTGTAGCCATAACGGACCACTTCAACGGGACCTCTAACGGTGATTATCAAGGATAAGTCGAACGCACGGACTACCATGAAGTGACCCGTAGAGAGGCACTTCACTCCCATGGCCAGGTTAAGGGCCACTGGTTGTCAACAAGGCTAATGCATGCACCGGGAAACTAGGGCATGAGGAGAAACTTTCACTTCCTTCTCAGAAAAAATGAACTTAAAGCACTCTTCTTTATGTGATCCACCTGCTTTGGACAAGGTTGTGTACAAACTTGTCAAGTCTCCTAACATAACCTTGCTAATTTACGAAATTACTTACCAATCACAGCGCCTCGCCTATTTAATGACATTCACAACATTGTCCTAGAGGAGCTGCATCAGAACATCATTGATCAGCTTCAAAACTACACTATTATCTTGGCAGCCTGTAGTTCTGGTGCACAGACGCCTCATCTGGAACAGTCCAAGAAGCAGGGGTTTATACCGGAGGGACAAGTTTACATGCACACAATTCCAGACTGAACTTCAGGATATTTACTGATAACGTGATTATAATCTGCAGGGGGAGGACACAAGGAGGGAAAGCATGCCAGAAGATGGGATCGCTGCTACTGACTGTAAGGGACTAAACGTATCAATCTGACTTTGTTTATGGATTTCGCATCTACCAAAATTCAACCTAGCCCAAACACCAGGCCCAGTCGGAGAATGATTGGTGCCATTCATAAAAAATTGGAGGCACGTCATGTCTGACCACAGGATCCTACATGTGGTTATGGAAGGATACAAGTTCATCTTCCACCGACTACATTAATCTTGTCTCCTGAACAAAGTGCTTTCGTTTTTTTTATTGAAAACTGCAAGCTAGCAGCAACCTCCATGGCTATTCAAACACTACTGAACCAGTGTGCCATATGGGAACTGGAGGATATGGATCACAGCCAAGGCTTCTGTTCTCTAGTCTTCCTTGTTCACAAGAAAAACACCAGCACTTTGCTCATGATCATCGATTTGAAAGTTCTCAACAAGGAGTGCTGAAATTTCAGATGGAATCAGTACGCAAACTTTGCACTCCACTCCGGACTGTGGAGTCTCAACCTCCATGATGCATACCAACATGTGCCGATTCACCCTGGATCCAGGAAATATCTCAGATTGCCAGTCAACAGCTGCTGTTATGAATTCCTAGTACTTCTGTTCGGGATAGCCATCGGACTTTGGATTTTCATCTGGATTACAGCACTGATAATCAGTTTTTTTCACGTCCAACGAGTGTGTCTCCATGGATATAAAAACAACTTCCTGTTGGACAATCAGGACAAGACCCATCTTCACCAGAACATCATCTTCCTGACCTTTGTCTCATCTCAGAGTGCTGGTTTACCAAACCAAGTGGGAGCTCAACCTGATACAGGATATCTTCTATATGGGCACCATGAAGGGCATTACACTTGTATTTCCAACACATGAACGCCAACTGTTCACAAATGCTTCCAACTCGGGGGCTGGGAGCTCATATAACGATACTTGGACTGTGGAAGGGCACCTTCACATCAACTGACTTGAGATGCGATTGATGTGGGAGACTACTGGTTTATTCATCAAGGTTGACTTAGCTGGAGGTATTCCAATGGAAAACGTCAGACTTGTTCACAACATGTGAGCCTGGTGTTGCATCTCCAAGCTCTTCAAGTGGGTTGTCCATGGGTTGGATGAGGTTCTTAGCATACGACTTTGCCCCCTTTTTTCTCTTTCAGATTGAATAATTCGGAAGGACACAAGGACCAAGGACACAGATTACATGAACTGGATCAGGAGATCTTTCCTGCTGGAAAAAGTAAAAACTTGTCAGTTGTTCTGCCCACTGTCTTGGGGCTTGCATTCGAACCTTGTTACAAATAACCAAGAAAACAGCATTCTTATTGGCCATTACATCAGTGGTTGTACTTTCTGCCTGCTGGCAGCAGACTTGGAAGGAAGGTTAACCTTTTGTACCATAATGTCTACTACATGTGGGACAGGGCCATAGGTTGACTGCAAGCGATAACACTCTGAAGTCACAGAAATGATGTCAAGGTCACTGGAAGTGACATCATCAGAAGTAGAAGGGATGTCATAAGTATCACATTCTGGAAGGTCACATGGGGCGAAGGCTCTCATTTAATGAGGTCACAATTGGGGAAATTGGATGCAGATGTAACTGTAATTCTAAAGAAGTTTTGTATTATTCCAAAAATGGGTCTTTTGAGGTGTTGAGGGAAAATTTGTGCACCTAATATTAGTCAAAACAACTAGAATGCTTGTTTGGAACAATTAGGAACACCCAAAATACTGCATTTAAGGAAAAGACACAATTTTGAAGGAAACCATGGTGTTTTGTTTAGTTTCCTTTTTAAACTCGGTAGACTGTTAGTTATCCATGGTATATCTAGATGTCAGAACCCACGGATCCCTCAGGTTTATTCTGTGCACTGATGTAATAGAGGTTTTGTATTCATAGGACTTATCAAACAATACTCATATTTTTTTTAAAATTCAAAGAAAACTACCTCTATTACATCGGGAGAAATCCCTTCCACCCACTTCACCAGTAATCTGCATCTAGGTTGCTGATGTTGGAGTGAAGTCTGAACATTAGCCGAAGTTTAGTAAGGTAGATACTATTAGTATCTCAACGGGTTATTGCCAGTTGACAGTGAAGAGGACTTCTAGCTGTTATGACAGCATACATACAGGATTTATGGCACTGATTTAATAGAGGTAGTATTCTTTGAATTATTAACAGTGATAACTGTTGTTTGATTTTCCTGCACAACCCATACCACTGATCTATTTGAATTGCAAAAGGTATTCTAAATTGGTGAATGGAAAGGACACACGGTGGTGATAGCAGCACTTCATTAGCAACTGCAGACAATCAAATTATGAGCTGTCCAAACATCGTGAAACTCCCTGTGTTCTCTCTAAAATCTAGTAGCATTGTTATATTGGAAGTTTAACTTGCTTCAGAATGAGGTTGATCAAAAAATGCACTGAGTCTGCATTTGACCATCGTCTTCCTTTCCTTTCCCGTTATAGCACGTAGGGATGGCAGGTTTGGATTCAGGTCCTGGCGTCTATATCTCGATTCCACATGTTGAATATAAACAGGTTTGCTTTTCTACCACTTGAAATCTTTTGTAGTTACTTTGCACGGATCACATAGTGTTACATGTAGCATGGATATGATGAAGCCTTTATTGCTATCATAAAATAACAGCAGTGTTTACCCTTGGAAATGTGTTTCATAACTTTTATTATGTGATAGAATAAGTGCTATCCCTTGTATGTTGTGTTTTACTGCCTATTTATATGTGACATAGTTTTTATAGAAGTTCATAATAAATTGATCTATCTGATCCTCATGAGGCAGCCCCTGTGAGCTCATATTAGAGCTCACTGCTGACACAATTGTTGTTTTTAACCACATGCTTGTGACAAATGTAAGAATCTTCTTGTCGTGATATGCCTCCTATATACCAGTCAGTGTGATCTCTTAAAATCTAGATGCTTAATTCAATCTAAAATACCTGTTTTTTGTGTACTTAGGCAAAGTCACTGAAGTGCGCATTAATGACTTTGCATGCCTTGTGTACTGATGTCACTGATCCATGAGCATTTTACTGATTTATGGTTGTTAAATAAAGGCAATTACCGTGAATATACATAACTATTTATGTCTTGCTTATTATGAGTTTACACTTCTTTGATAACAAAAGGGCATGACATGTTTAAAAACCGGTCTGAAATGCTGTATTTGAATTCCAACACTGAGTTATGTAATTTGACCCCAAGAAAAGCCGCCTAAACAAGAGGTCACCCTGACTGATGTAAATGACATTGAAAGTCAAAAGTCACTTGATTTGTGTATATGACAATATAAGCATTTATGATTGGCAGTCGATGATACATGATTCATTGGGTGGGGTCTTGAAAGCATAAACTTTTAGAAGACCTCCATATGAGGTCAATTGCATGAGAGGTCACATTATGGACTATGGTGAGGCAATTTCAGACATTTCATGATAAATCCAAGTGATTTCTAATCAGTTAAAATAAACTCTTGAATATATAACTCAACACCGGTCATTTTGTCAAAGGTTAAACTTCACCTAGAAAGGCATTCATGCATGTTATGACATGTAAATAGTTTTGTTCAAGAAATATTGTCAGTATTGTCTGTGTAATGCTCTTGAAATCGTCAACAAGTCAGTTAAGGTAGCACTCTCTACTATTGTTCATTCTTTTGCATTGTACATGAGCACAACGCACCCAGCATGCAATTCAGCTTCTGTTAGCTTAAAAGACCAAACAAATATAACCAATTTAACCAAAAACTATATCCCTCTCTACCTTAGAAGGAAATCTACTCAGACATAATATTATGAACAGGTGATGATGTGTCTCTCAATTGGATCCAAGTGGAACCACTTGGTGGGTTTCAAGTTTATAAATAACGATTGTCTGTCGATACAGAATTATTATGAGTCACTGGCAAACAACAAGAATGTCTTTGACACATCACATGACAGTCTCTCTTGTTGGTATAGACTTTGTATAGTGACAAGAACTGAATGATCAAAGTGAGGCACATGGGTCCTAGTACTTGTCATATAGGACACCAGAAGTAGGACTGGAAACAGGAACTAATTTATATATTGAGTCACACTACCATGATGGAACTTGTCAAAATGACAAATGTTCAGTATCTAACAAAGCATTTTCAGGCGGGCCCAATGGCCCGAAAAGGTCTTCGCATTCTTTCAACCATGTTTATTTTGCCATTGACTTGTCCTAGCACATGTTTTTGGGGCAGGATAGGCTCACCTTTTAGCAAACATCTATATCATCACTCTTTCATATTGATTCATAAACACATGCTTATGATGTAGTCAGAATTGTACAACAGCCTGTACTTTTAGCAGAGATTTCTTATAATTATGAATAGTTTTTTATCGCTTTTATTTATTGACTGAAGACAATGAGTAGGATTGTAAAAGAACTGCAGCAGGTTATTTGAACCTTTTCTTTTCACATTCCATACTAAATTTCGAAAACACATGTAATAGTATTCTGCAAGATCAACGTAAGTATGACATTCAAGGAAATGATTTAAACACTTTTATAGTATGAATCACAATTACAAATATGTTTTCTGCCAAAGTTTCCTTCAATAAATCTGCTGTAAGATTACTTCATGCATGCCTGATTCTTGTTTATAAAAAGATACTTGCTTTTTGTTCATGTCAGGTAAAAACTAGTCCTTGTTTTGTTTCTTATTGAACTCCCAGTTGCAGCTAATCTGCATGCTCAGCAACCATGTGTTGTACCACTGTTAACAAATAGACACATTCTAGCCAGACGATAATGGAAAGAAACTGTTTCACTCTGGATAGGCATGGACATGCCTGGAGGAGTCCTATCAAATGTTGTGCGAAAATCAACGTAAGGTAACATGGCAGATTTGGAGGTGGGTCTATAGGATTGGATGACTATAATTCAAAGCCTTCGTTACTTGCCCATGAAGAGATCACCTGTTTAATAAAACATACAGCTGTATTACACATTGTGTAATACCAAAATGTGTGCTTATGTACTCTCGGAACACGTTTCACGAACAAATATTGAAAGGTCTCAACATCCCTTGGCTTATTCAACGACATTGCGTGTGGAGATGATAGATTACTGAGAGGAGCTTATGCACTCTCAATGACCCAAGCAACCTTGTAGCTAGGCTGATGTCACATGGCATTGTTTAGCCGATGGATCTTGCAACAAAATTCATCAAATTATGTCATTGGGTATTGTGACATGATTGTAAACTTTGAGGTGCAAGGCCCCGTTCCACAAGGCAATCATATTGTAGCGCAACGATTGTAGTGCAAGTTAAAGTATGTGAGTTGCGATAACCTTAGCGCTACGATAACTTTGTGGAACAAATGCCTGAGTTCTAAAGGTGGACCAATTTATGAAACTCGTGAATAGTTGTGGTATCTGACTCGCTTTCACTCGTCAGATACCAGATCTATTCACTCGTTTCATAAAATTGGTATTACACGGGAGCTCATTTAGTTTTCTATATCTATTACATAACTGCTATATTCCTTGATTTTATCTGCCATCACACTATAACTAAAACTTAAGATTTTCAACTGAAGTTCTCTTCCCTGTCATTTATCCACAATTAGTTGTGCCATCTTGTTTACCCAGAATCCCTGCACAGAAAACATCGGTTCTTTCCTTTGTGAGCTAAAGAGTTTCTAGCACCTATTTGGTTAAGATTTCAGTCTAGAAGCTACATATTCTTTAGTTATTCGCCATGCAGTAGTTCTCAATTATCGACATGACTATTCACCTAAGTTGAGAGGTAGACGTATTGTGAGGCTGGGCTGGGGTCCCTGTCTTCCTTTTTCTGTACGTAAAAATTATGGTCAGTTCATGGTAGTGGGGGGACCTGCATTCAGACTGTTGGAGATGAAGGGAACTAGCATGTTCAAAGGCTAAAAGATGTGAGCAGTGGTAATCTTTGTCACGGTCAAACTTCACCAAGATGGCAGAGGCCTGGTGAAAAGCACATAAGGAAGTAGCAAAGAAAACAGTTGATGCTCTATGTTCCTTTGCCCAGCACCTCTCTACCAATAAATGCCTCTTCTTGTTCTTGATTTTAAGCAGTCTTCAAGTTCTGTGTGGACGGTCAACAGTAGCCAGGAGTCTACATGAATCACTGTATGGACACCGTGTGTAAAAGGAAATGGCCTACAGAGTCTGTTACAATTGGGAACTCAGGACATGCACATTGGCTTATGTCCCCAGCCAGCCGGCGAATCCTTAATCTCCATTCTACCATGAACTTGGAATTTACTCGATTCTGATTGGTCAATCAGAGGCTATTAAATCACAATAAACCCCCTCTGATTGAAACAGCTGGTTTGACGGACACATCACCGCGGAAACTAATATTCATGGAATAGTACCAAACTGGACGGTAAAAGAAAGTATAGGTCGAGTTCCATGATCGATAAAAAAATAACAAGAAGAGGTTTTGTTGTGAATTATAATATAATCTAGGGAGGGGTAACAAATGATTGATCAACCACAATTTGAATGAAATTGTGCAATCACAGGTAATGTAAGCTCAAGGTAAACAATGGTGGGGTAAGAAATTTCATTTTCAAAAGTTGTCTGAAATGTCACCAAAGATTTGTCAGTCACACTACAAGTTCATTGTTGACACAGTTGCCTTCAATAGCGTGTATGACCTCCAGCTGCCTCAATGCATGCTGTGATACACAGCCTCATCGATGACATCGGTCTTCTGATGACATGGACTTGAATCTGTTGCCACCTGTCTCTCAGGGCCTGCTGCAATTCTTGTCTGTTAACGGGAGGCTGATGGCGTGCTCCAATCTGTCGGTCAAGATGGTCCCACAGATGTTCAATAGGATTCATATCAGGTGAATTTGCAGGCCAGGGCAAAACGTCAAAGTTCTGCTGGTTAAGAAAGTTTCGAGTCAATCTTGCAGTATGGGGCCTGGCATTGTCGTGTTGAAACAATGTCCCCTGCTGTTGGTTTTGTAAGAACGGAAGCACAACTGGCTGCAACACTTGGTCTTTGTACTGCACAGCGTTCAGGTTTCCCTGTATAATCACCAAATCAGTCTTCTGATCTCCACAAATACCGCCCCACACCATGACACCTCCCCCGTCAAAATGATGGATCTATTGAATACACACAGGAGCCAAACGTTCCCCTCTGCGTCGATAAACTCCTTCTGGGCCATCATTTCGAAACAAGTTAAACCAACTTTCATCAGTAAACAGCACTCGACGCCAATTTCTCACTTGCCAGCATCGAACCTGCCTCGCCCATGGCAATCTCAGGCGATGTTGAGCAGTCAGAAGCATGCCTCGGAAAGGACGATACGCTCGGATGCCAGCAGCACGAAGTCGTCGTAGTACTGTACGTTGGCTAATGGGATGTCGCAACACTGTTGCTGCAATCGCCGTCGCTGTCACCGTTACGAATCTGTTGCAGGTGAATGAGCCGTATCTGACCGTCTTCCAGTGGTGTTGTCACTCGGGGTCATCCGGTTCTAGGCCTGTCCTGTGTC